ATTCAATTAATAGAGCATAATCTTTAATCAAATAATATATCTTAAAATATTTTCTTTATATACTAATTCCTTTAACTTAAGATATATCATATTTTTATTTTACTAGTAATAATTTTGATTGGCTAATAATTAAAAAAATATTATATAATATTTCTTAATTAGCTGAACAAATATATTAAAATATTCTTTTATTTAATCAAAAATAGCATAAAATATATAATAAAGTCATAAATAGTTAAAAATAATTTGATAAAACTAAGTAGCAAAAATTTAAGTAATAAAATCAGCAAAGTTAGATTGTAAAATTGACTTATAAAGCTAAATAACAAAGCTAACAAAGCTAAATAATAAATTATGTAATAAAATTTGATAAGTTTAAGTAAGTGGTAAAGCTAGCAAAGTTAATTATAAAATCAAAGATAAAAATAGTTAATATAAATATTCTATTTAAAGAGAAATAGTCAAAATATTCATTTGATAATTTCATATTCTGCAGTTTTTTACAATATAATTTTTATTATTTAATAATAATTTTAATTATTTCTAATGAATAATTTTTTTATTGCTTATTTAGAATGATAATTTAATCATTCTAAATAAATAATTTTCTTCTTATTCATTTAGAATAATAATTTAATTATTTTAATTGAATGATTTTCTTATTATTTATTTAAAATAACAATTTAATCATTTTAAATAAATTATTTTCTTATTGTTTCTTTGAAATAATATTATTATCATTCTAATTAAAGAATTTTCTTATTATTTATTTAAAATGAATCATCTAAAATTTTAGATTAATTTGAAATTTTTAGTTAAGTTCAAACTTTTTTAATTCAGATTAGATTTATAATCTAAAAAAATCTGAATTGAATAGAAAGTTTCAGATTAATTTTTTTGTAATTTAAAATTAAACTGAAGTTGATTTGAATTAAAAATTTTTAGATTAATTCAATCTATTTAGAATTTTTTATTAGTTAATAATTTAATAAGTATTATTTAAGAAATTATTTTCAAAAAAATCAAAATCTTTTTTTTTTTTATTAATGCAGTTCTGATAGAATTTGATAACTATTTTGGATCTGCTATTTCAATTATAAAAAGTAAAATTAGTTTAATTACACTCATTATAAAGAAAAAAAGAACTTTATTTATGATTGCAATTTTTCTATTTATATTACATGAGTTATTATAATATATAAATATTAGAGATTAACATTACAAAAGTTGTGATAAATCTTAAAAAAAAAAGTTTGCTATTAGTTTATCATTATGACAATTTTTTAAATTTGTACTCTTAAAATATTTTTAATTAATTTTTACTTTAAAGACTTTAGTATATCAAAATTTATAAAAGATTATAAGAGAAAAACTGAAAAGAGATGATTAATTTCTATGATTTCATAAAATTTAATCTTATTTTTTTAAAATAAAAAAATATATATATGTGATATATATTTGATATATTTAGATTTATAAGTTTAGTATTATATATAATATAAGATTCTTTGTTATTCTTTTAATATTATTATTCTTATATAATCAATATTATATTTATCAATTTATATTACTAACCAAATTAAATACTTTTAAATTTCTAATAGTTTTTATTTCTAGTAAAATATATTGAACATAATTAAAAAACTAAAATAAATTTTAAAAGAAGCAAAGGTGACTTAAGCAAATAATTTTATTAGGATAATAAAGAAAAGAATATATATAAAATAAAATAGAAAAATTATAATACATTTAAAGAATAAAATAATAATAGTATAATATAAGATAAATTAAAGAAAAAAATAAAAAAATAAAAAAAAAGCACTTAGATACAAGAAAAAATAAATCAATATGGATAAGTCATAGCCTCAAGAATAGTTAAATAATATATCAGTTCTCAAATAAAATTAGTAAAATTTAAAGAAAACTAGAACTAAGATAATGAAAATTAAATTTAATACTTTCTATTTAAATAAATTATCTAAGGCTTATCATGATATCTAAACCTGTATATAAAAAAAAGAAAGTATAAAAGCATTACAAAAAATTTTCATTAATGAATACAGTTTATTTAGAAATATTAAGATTTATAATCAGACCAGTCTGATTTTAGTTTAATTATAGAATCAGTTTCAGTTTAATTTGAGAACTAAATTTAAACTGAAACTGAATTGAGTTAAACTGATTTTTAGATCAGTTTAAATGATCAATCTATGTAAATGCTGTGTAGGTAATTTATAAAATGTGTTAATCATTTTAATTAGAATAATTTTCATTTTATATTATTATTTATATTGCATAATATTTAGCAGCGTAATTTTAATGAAAATAATGATGATTTCTCAGATATTTTTTCAACTTCTTTAATAATTGAAAAAGATTTTAATATAATAACTTATAAGTCAAATGTATAAGAATTTTTAAAGTTTAAGATGAAGAAACTGGACTAACAACAAGTTATAAATGTATATTATGTGCTAAAATTTATTTACCTGGCAATCTAACAACTACTCTTCAATCATATTTAACTAAAAAACATTCTTTTTATTATAAAAAAAACCAAAAATCATCAAATTAATTTAAATAAAATGCATTTTAAATCTTATTCTTTATCACAATTCAACTCTATTATAAATTTATTAATTGATTTTATTGCAACTGATTTATAACTTTTTTTATTATTAAAATATTAAATTTAAATTGTTTGTTAATAAGTTAAATTCTCAATTTATTTTACTATATAGACAAACTTTAAAAGAAAAATTTGTAAAAAATTATGATATAAAAAGAAATGATTAATAGATGAAATTTCACAAATTAATTTAAAAATATTTTACAATAAACATATGAATATCAGATTCAAAAGATTATTATCTTGGAATAATAATTTATTATATTAATAATACTTAGAAATTAAAGAATCTTTTACTTGATATAATTTATATAAATAGTTCTCATAGAGCTAAATTAATTACAAACAAACTTTTACAATTTTTTGAAGAATTTAATATTAGTCAGAATATTCTTGCTATGACAATAGATAATGAAAGCAATATGATAGCATATGGTAATCAATTAGCAGCTGAATTAGATCAAAAATTTAATAATATGTCTTTTATTTATTTTTGATGTGCTGCTTACATTATCAACTTGGCATTAAAAGTTAAAATGAAATATATAGGAGATAAAATCAAAAAACTTTGTCAATTTATTGTTAAATTAAAAAATTAACCACTATTATTGGATAAATTATTAGAAATTTGTATTATTAGAAAGATTAAATTTCTAAACCAATTTTAGATATAGATACTTATTGGATTTTACATATTTGATGATTACTAGACAAATTTAATGCAGAATATTTCTGTAATAACAAACCCTGAAGATCTTGATAATTTTTTCTAACAATTTCTGAATGGAATTATATTAAGGTATTTATTATTATTATTTTATTATTATAATTAATTAATTTATTAATTAATTATTTTATACTTATTATTATTTTTAGGAATTATCATTAATTTCACAACTTATGTATGAAGCAACACATTTATTATCATCATAATTAAATCCTACACAAGGTGATATACGATTGGTTTTTGTTGGAATGTTTAAAAAATTGAATCAATATCAAAGAAGAGGACATCACACACAAAAAGAATAATAATGACTTAGCTGGAATTATTATTAATTTATAGTACAAATTCTCCCTTAAATAATCAAACAAATTCAAAAAAAAAGTAATCATCTCGGGATTACTTTCTTAATTTGCTTAATCAAAATTAATGACATATGATGAATTAGATAGATATCTAAATTCTCCGGTAGATAGTGGTGCCAATCCTTTAATTTGGTGGAAAATTCATGAAAAAGATTATCCGATATGGCTAAGGATTATTTATCGATCCAAGCGACATCGGTTCCATCAGAAAGGGCCTTTTCAATTTCAGGCTTAATTATCTCAAAAGTTAGGAACAGGTTAAATCCTGAAACAGCAAGGGCATTATTTGTATGAAGTATTGGATTTCGGAAAAAGGATAGTAGAAAATTTATAAAAATTGTGGAAGCATAATTAAGACGAAATTATTTCAGGTCAAAAGCTTGATGGGAATAATGTTTCGGTAATAATAGATCGCAAAAAAAATTTTTTTGTATAATTCGACTTTTTTTTTGGTTTATTTGTATTAGGGAATGTTGAGTATCGCACAATTTTTTTATAGTTTCGTCAAAGATTTTACAATAGACTATATATAAACTCCAAATCGGTCTACAAACCGATCCAGTTCGATTTTACCCTCAAACCGATAAAAATCAGACCGAAACCGAACTGGTCGAACCAATCGAAATTTGCTACACAAATTTCCTTTTTGAAATGCATATAAAATCACGTGATACGTATTTGTCGCTTAGTGACAAAATATATCACATGATTCACTGGTCAATCAATAATATAATTGGTTAATTTGACATCGAAGTGGAAATATTTTCGAAGTCTTCGTTCTAAGTTCATTCCACAATTGTTCGATAGGAAAAAAAAAATATGGAAATATATCCAATCTCGAGTAAAAATCAAAAAAATCTAGTGACAATTTTTTTTGAAACCTTTCGGTGAAATGACATAACTGCTATGACGAAACTCAGGGTAAATCATTATTCGATAAATGTGACGCGTAATGAATTTACGTGATCTTTGCATTTGGAATTTCCCTCAACTTAATTTCATAATCAAATGAACTAAAATTTGGTAATTTCTAAATTCATTATTCCCTTTGTTGATTAATTATGATATGAATCGTGTGAAGAAATCAATATTTTTTGATAAACATTACAACCGGTGTGAAGAAAACAATATTTTTGATAAATATTACAACCGATTTCCTTTCAGAACGATCGATCGACCGATTTACCTGTAACAAATCAAGTTTACTACAAATACTAAGAAATTTGATATAAAAATCCTCCAAAAAATCATTTGTTCTAGTAATCACAATTTCCTGATCAAAATGGATAAAAACGAAGATTTTACCGCGCTACCAAAACCGAAGTCTGATTTAAACACTGATAGAAAGAATTTTATTAACACCAAAGCTGCAACCTCGTCAAATATGAATGGTAACGATTCTCCTGTGGACCCAAGCCCTCCATTTCGGAATGAAGGCAAAAAAAGAAAAAATATATTTATTCCAATCTCATTTGATAGTAACATTATTTCGGTGATGAATGACCGTTCAACTAGCAACCTTGAGGAACCTACTGTTCAGAATAAGGGAAAAAGCAAAATCATTACCAAAGAGCAAGACCATAACGCTCATGATTCAAATAAACGCGTCACCAACAAGGAATCTATTAAAGAACGTTACCTTATTGAAACGGAAACTGTTCCGATTCAAACTGAGTCAAAATTTAAAAATGAACTAGAAGGAGAACAACAATGTTTTAATAAAGTGAAATTAGCAAATGGTTTAGGAGAGGAAGAACAACTTATTAAAACAACAATTGTTTCGATTCAGCCTAAATCAAAAGGACTTAGGATGCGTGAACATGATCAGCCACGACAAGCTGTTAAAAAGGCGAAAATAGCAAATGATCCTGGAGGTTCAGGAAACCATCACGGTTCTACATTACAAACCATTTCACAAAATAATAATAATCGATCTGATATTCAATATGACAGTATAGATTCATCATCTACTCAGAATAAGTCTTTACTCGTAGAGAGTTTCAAGAAGGGTTTTGCCATGATCAAAAATTTTATCATGTCCGAAGCTCCAGATGATAAAACTGTGCGAGTCATATTTCATGTGCATTTACCTATGAATATCCGTTCTGAAAATCTTGTTATAGTTGGTAGTATAGAGGAACTTGGTAATTGGGAAGAATCTAAAGTTAGACTCATTCAATACATAAATGATAATTCAGAGTATACATCTTATTGGTATTCAGAGCCTATTCGTATCCCAATTGAAAGGTTTCAATCAAACGCTGTTGAATATAAGTATGCGGTGTTATCTTCGGACAATTGCTTACAGTTTGAAGGGGATGGACCAAATGATAATCGTGTGTTAGAAATTACACGTCAAAAATTTGATATTTGGAAAAATAACTCAATAAATAGTATTAAACAAATAACTGATTATATGTTCTTGGATGTTATTTATGAATCCGTTACTTTAAAAAACATCAAGGAGATGATTCTTGAATATGATTTTATCCTGAAAAAGTATCGAAAATTTACATTATCCGTAACGAATATTCAATTTATTATCAAACGTGCATCAGAAAATTCTGTTGATAAACAGCTTTTCTTATGCTTTCTTTTAGGACATTGTTCAAATACTCGCGGAAGATTAGAATTTCCAAAAAATTTTCAATCAGCTCCTTTGCTTCAAGCTTTTTTCAAGGTTCAATCAGACACATTTCCATCTGATAGTTGGCGTATTGTATTAAAAGGAATGAATCATTTGATTCATCACGATATTAAAAATGGATCCTTCGTATGGCTCAAAATCTTTACCATCGCACGAATAATTGATCCTCAATATAAGTTCGTCGAAACAATAATTTTTGGTAAATGTGATGATGACAAATATATCGAAGCTTGTTTCAAATATATATTGAAACTTAAATTTGATGAAAATACTCATACGAAAATTATCAAGGTATTTTTATTTTTATTATTATTATTATTATTTTGACAGCATTGGATTAATTAATACTATAAACAAATTATACAAATTATATTAATTATTTATATTTATTTATTAATATTATCCATTTAGTGGCTGATGAGTCAATGCAAAACCATGAAAATTTTATCAATCGTTTGGAAATCTTCAGATAAAACTGACGAGCAATATTTGGTAGAAATGTCTAAAAAAATTATATCTAAAGATGACCCCGTCGTTTTGCATAATACTTTTACCGAGCTTCCTGATGACATTAGAGACATAGTCACGAATTTATTTAGAAAGAGAGCGTTACAATTATTAGCCAATGCTCGTAATACTACCTGGAATGATTCTCAATCCAAATCGATGTTTTATCTTTTAAACTCCGTACGTCTACATTGGACAAAAGATGAATACATTGTCTTCTTGGAAACTGTGTCAACTTTAGATAATTATCAGCTATTAAGCGAGTTTCCATCATTCCTGAAATATTGGATTCAGATGAATAAAAATATTGATAATAAAATAGCACAGATATGTATTCAATGGTATAAAAAGTTTATCGATCGAACGGATCACACAATAGTTCATAGAGGAGAATACGTATTCGCAGTTTTTGAGAAGTTGTCATACACTTGTTCAGTAGTTAAGGAACAATTCATCTTGGATGAATTAATGAAGATAACGTTCAATTGCATAAGACAGTCCTCAGAACAATCAATTTTTAATGTTACAAATAAAGTTGTAAAGTTTGGTTCAGAAGCAGAACGTGTATTTACACAAGTCATTTATGAAAAGATTGATTCGATGAATCTAGATTACGATGAACGATTATTAAAGAAAATGCAAGGCATTTGTGGTTATACTGGTAAAAGTTTAGAGATTCCAAATGAGTAAGTGATTAACTTATATATATATATGTACGGAGAGTATTACTTTTATTAATTATATATTATATAAATTAAAACTTACATTTTTATACGTTTAGGTTTTGTGAAACAATCTTATTTCATATCATGTCATGTTTGCAAAAGAAATCTTCAAATGCTTGTTCAGAAGTTTCTTTGCTTGAATCCGCTAAATTCTGGATTATAATTTTACGAGCGACTGGCAGTACCCAAAAGTTTCATTCTCATCAACTTGTGCAAGAAACTAAAAGAACCATTTTCAATTTGGCTAATATGATAAATTATGGTTCTATTAATATTAATCATCTCCAGGACTTACTTAAACTTAAAGATGATGACCTAAATTATTATCTAAATTCAGCAAATATTAGGAATAAAGTCATTACCAAGGAAACATTGGTTAAGGTTCGTCAGAATTGCCACTCCTATGAACAGAGATTGAAAATTCTAGGCAATTTTTATAAGAGATTCTGTTCGTTACAAAAAATCAAGGATGCGCAAGATTATCTTAATGAATTAGTAGAACGAAGTAACAAGTTGGGTACAATCTCACTAAAAGAGGCCTTATCGGAAGATCATTGGAATTTCCATAACGAAATTATATCAATAGCTGAGAATACACATGCGTTGAACAAGTCTCATATATTTTATAACGTTTTTGAAAAACGATTAAATGAAGAATATATTAAAAAACGTGAGTACGGCGAAACCATAAATGTTGAATATATAGCTCAAAAGTTAATGAAAAATGTTTTAAGTAAATATATTGCTAGGTGTAAGCAATATATAAAATGGGAGGATCTCAAATACTCTGAGGAAATACCATTTTGGTGTAATGTTTCTAATTTTCCCGATGAGCTTAGGTTAATGGAAACATATGGCAATATTCAAATACGTCAAAGTAGAGTATTCATGATAACGATAGAATTTCTTTCAAAGAATAAGGATTGGGAAGAACGTATAAAAAATTTATCAAATATTATTAAGATTTTTGATGTCAAAGAGAACTGGCTTAAAGGCTTAATTAATCACGAATATTTGGGCAAATTAAGTGACTCCTTTATAACCATCGATAAATATTTTTCCACATTCAATTATAATAGTTGGGCATTTATTAAAGAATTGTCTAGGTCCAAGGAATTTATTGAATTTCTAAGTGACAAAACAGATGACGATTTGAAAAATTTGATTAATGGCGTCGATGAGCACTCAGATACGCGATTGATCCAAGAAGGCACCATTTCTTCGCTTATTCAAGTCAAGCAATTCTTACAACAATTCATGAATAATTCAAATTTAACTTTGGATACATTCTTAAAAGAATTCAATGATCTCCAAAATCCTTCGCTAGCGAGTAAATTATCGTTATGTAATAGTAATTTTATGGTTCTAAAAAATATGTATGAATCCATCTATAACAAAGGTGAAGTTACAAAGGAAAAGATTCAAAATGCCGCGAATATTGGTACATATGAATTTGTTAAAAAGAAAGATAATGAAGACTGCAATTTGACATTGACATATACTTATAGATCAGAAGTTATGAGGTACAATATTAATGAGTTACAGGATTTACGTAGCAGAGCACTTTTAATTTCAAAGCCTGGTGTTTATTTTGGACAAGATGATGATGACATCGTTAAAGGCAACATGGATGAATTTGTAAGGCAGGTTGACATTTCTCAGAGTATAATTATTACAATGAAAAAATTAACTCAATTGGGTCATTTTGGATATCGAAAGTATCATAAATCAGCTAAAGGTACTAATAATTTAGAGGAAATATCAATTAAATTGAGAAATGACTTGGAGATCTGGTGAAAATTTTTTTTATTTTTATTTTTATTTTTATTTTTTTTTTTGATGATACTAATTTATGATTTTGTGGGGAGGAGATTGTTAATCGAATACAAGAAAATTGTTATTACCTAAATTTTTATCCGGAAAGACACATATTAGCATTTTATGATTACTACACAACAAAGAGCGAGCAAGTGGAAATAACAGACACTTGTCAAACGCTCGTGTCATTTGTCAATCGAAAAGCCAAATTGTCACAACTCAAAGGCCGAGAATTAGTTAATTGTAAATATGATAAATATGATCAAGTTTTAGAAGAAATTAATGATAGATTAGAAAGCACATTTGGAACCCTTCAAAAACATGCACGACCAGTAACAAATTGGAAAGAACGCGTAATTTCAGATACGGTGGAACGTGGAGAGTTATTTATCGCAGCTTGTAATGAACAATCGAAAGTTCCTAATATAATAATGTCATTTTACGTCAACCATGGAGTTTATCCGGAGCCTTGGCAACTTTTGATATGTATGACATCAACTACCAAAGAAGAACTTTCGATTTTTATCAAACGATGCTTCTTTGCATCAAAAAATGGTTATCGAGATCATTTATTCTGCATTGCGAATTTAGAATTACTAGATTTCGAATTACAATATTATCTTGTAAATAAGATTAGGTTTTTCATGGAAAGGGTAGATGATTATTATTTGGCGTTGATATGCTGTTCCGAAACTGGCATGCATCATCATATCTTGGATCAATTTTCTAAAAATGTTCACGCTACCGATGGGATTGGCGCCGTCGCAATGAAGGCCATTTATCAAGAATTATGCCAAAACGTTATGTGTGTAACATCAGCATTATCTGGACAAGGAAAAACACAATTTATTAAGCAGAAAAGTTCTGAAAATGACAAAAATTTGGTTCCTTTTCTCATTAGTGATGGAGCTAGCTATAATTCACTTATTAGACAACTTCAAAATTCTCATATTCAGCAAGTTGATAATCTGCATATTAACATAATATCTACTGATAACCCTAGAGAAGTTAATATGTTTTTGTTTCAAATATTAACTTTGGGAATTATTTCAAACAACGTATATGTTACAAGTCTTCCAGATACCAATATTTTTATTGAAATAGCTAGTGTCCGTTTGCTCGAATCCCTCCCATTCATTAATTGTTTTAAAAACACCCATTTAGTATGGGATATTAATAGCTTGAATGTGTCCGAGAACATTCATAGTCCAATTCAAGTTGTTTGTCGTTATTTGGATCTTTATGATAAGAAGAGGCTCGACAAAGAAAATATCTTTTACCAATCGTGTGATTGCATTGATCGGAAATCTTGTCGAAAACTTTTGGATAAATATTTCTTTAAGATGATTGACCCTAATATTTTATCCTTTCGCTTTTTAGAAATCTTTCTTAATTTTCTTGCAGATCAATTAAAAAGATTGTCAGAAAGTTCTTTCTTCACCGTTAGTAATTTGAAATTTATGACAAACGATATTAATATTCGATCAACATTATTTAATATATTACTTGATGTTTCAAAAGAATTTTCTACGAAATCAACCAATACAAAATCTGCACAATTGCAGGCCATTTCAAACAAAGCCAAAGCCGAAGTAGATCAATTAGAGAACCTTGTTCAATGGGATGATTCTAATCATCTTTTGGTATTTTTCATGTCTCAATCCCCAGAATCGATTTGTGCTTTATATCGAGACGTAAAAGTAGTTCCAAATAATGTTTTAGGTTTACTGGAGAGTCAAAGATGGGAATTAGTAGATTATCAGACCCTGCCTTCGGAACGATTATTATCTATATTGGAATGTCTGGCTCGAAAAACGATGCATGAAATTAAGTATCAACCATATGCTTTAACAGCGGAGAATTTGTTAAAAATGGCACTGATGTTGTTGAGAACGAGAGCTAATATTCCGGTAGTTATATGCGGAGAGGCAGGATGCGGAAAGGTAAAAATATATTTAACAAATTTGTGTTTCTTACAGCATATATTTCATAAATTTTCAACTTCCTTTTTGTAGACAAGCTTAATAAGTTTCCTGGCCAAGGTTGCGGAAGTCGAATTTGACGCACTTAATCTTCATGCAGGTGTCACAGAAAAAGATATCAAGGATTTCATGAATAAATCTGGTAAAAAAGCCAAATCTAGTAAGATATGGTTGTTTTTTGATGAAATAAACACTTGCAATCACATTGGATTATTGGCAGATCTTATTGCTCATCGAATGTTTGATGGCAAAAAAATTCATCACAATATTCGATTATTTGCCGCCTGCAATCCTTATCGTGTTCGGAAGAAAAGTGTTAGTAATGTTGGATTAAAACCAAAAAAGATTATATTCAATCAACGAAATGCTCTTGTTTATGAAGTTAAACCCCTCCCGGATCAAATATTGGATTACGTTTGGGATTATGGTATACTTCAATCGAAGGATGAAAAAATTTATATTCAAATAATGGTACAAAAGGCGAAATTAGATCCTGATTTTGCGAATTTATTATTTGCATCACAAGAATTTATTCGTAATGTCGAAGAGTCTTATAGTGTCAGTTTGCGTGATGTTAAAAGAGCCATTAAATTGTTTGAATTTTTCTATAAAAGTCTTCAAATTCGTCAAAGTGAGGGGGAAAATTATCCCGGAAATTCTCCTTCGGATATTGTTATTCGATCTTATGTTTTAGCATTGGGATTATGCTATCAGTCTCGCTTATATGAGCATGAATTAAGAAGAAAATATCGTGAAACGATATGTGAAATATTTAGAAATATGAATGAGTCAGATTTTAATGACATAATAAGAGCAGAGCAAAGGGACTATATGAGAAGAATGACTTGTCCACCAAATACTGCATTCAACGAAGCATTATTGGAGAATGTACTTGCTGTTATCGTTTGTATAATGTGTAAAATACCACTCTTCATTGTCGGTTCTCCGGGCTCTTCAAAATCACTAGCGATCAGACTTGTGCATCAGAATCTTAAAGGGTCTGATTCAAATGACGCCTATTTTAGAACATTACCTTATATATTTTTTATTCCTCATCAAGGCTCATCATCATCTACTTCTGATGGTATAGAAAAAGTTTTCCAAAAAGCCAAAGCTTATCAAGAGACAAGTTCCAAAGAGTTTCCAGTTATTAGTGTTGTC